CATAAGCTACAAGGGTCCCTATTACGGGTCCCTCCAAAAGTCCTCTAAACCCTAAACCCTAAACCCTAAACCCTACTCGGGAAAGTGGCCTGCTGAGCTGCCCAGTGCAAGGCCGTGAAGCCACGAGCATCCCGCGCATTCACCTGAAACAGGTGGTTTAGGATTCAGGGTCTAAACCTGGTATGCCCCTTGATAACCCCTATCTCCGACATAATCCGCCTTGTATATTCCCCCTTTGAGGAGTTTAGACTATAGCTCATGTGAAACAGCAACTACAAGAAACTATTGGATATTACCGCTATTACCAGCTGGGCTCTTCCCTATACAGCGCCTATCTGCCTAACTTGCGGTTCCCAAAACTAGGGGAAACTGAGCGCATTGGTGCCGGGAACCTGTTTCAAACAAGCTATAACTGAGGGAAATTCCCATGTGCCTCTGGCAGGCGAACCTCATGCTCTTCAGCACGCTTGCTATTTGTTAAGCAGGTATGGGCGTTCCAAAACCACCGATGACCTCCAGCGGGCTGAAGGCAACCGCAGATGACGTCATTATTGCAATACATTATCTACTGACTACCCAAGGGCTCCTATGTGGTTCCTTTTTGGGTCTGTTATGGCTTTTTGGGAAGGGATTATAACATACTACCCCAAAGGAACTACATCGGAGGGTCTGACTGATGACACGCGGTATGATTCCCCGGACCAACAATATTGTCAGCATCGCTGTTCTGATGAGAGTTTCTGGGTGCTGGTGCTGTAGAACCTCTGCGCCTCTTTAAGGAATGCTCCCTATGATGGTACTACAGGGGCCTAAATAATTGAGGTCCATTTGAGTATAATTATACAAGGAATATGGAACCATAACATTGGTACTGATTTAGGCCCCTATAGTATGTAGTACCCTGATTCCGATTATAGCACGTATTGTACCCTAGACATTATTCTCATACCTACAACAGTAAGTTGATGAAAGTGTTCCAGGATGGTTCATGGCTGTCGCTCCTGTAAAATGAAGGGTACTATTGTAGGTACTAGCATAGAAGGTACAATGTGTACCATCATGGGGTTGAGGGCACTATATACCATCATATACCATCATGAGGTTTAGGGTACCATTGTAGGTACTATCATGGGGTCGCAGTACTTTCTATGTTCAGGGTGCTACTATATGTACTGTAATAAGGTTTGGTATAGAGTATTAGAATGTACTGGACATGAACCTGGCAGACCTAGCACCAAGGGATCGGCGGCATTAAAGCATGTTGATGCCAGCAGCGCTTCCACAGTGGAAACGAAGCCACCTGTCGAGAAAAAGAACATATACTGGTATCCTAAACCCGATTTTTGCACCTACAAATGTACCCGATATGTTGCAGCTGTGGCTAGTTCCGGCCAGTCTTCGCACCGAATCGTGGAACACGTAATGTGGACTGCAGTTTTCACATAAGCTATTCCAAACTCCGAGTATCGCCCTTGATAACCCCTATAATAGTCCCCTACATAATCCCCCTTTACGTGGCTTAGACTCTAGTTCACATGCTTTCGTGGGCCTTTGGCGGCCATATGAAGAGCTGTCGCACCCATGCGGTTCACCTGTTCGGGGTACTGGCGCACGATGCGCACCACTACAATTCAATTGCATAATTGAGCTATCAAAGTCTTTGCTGCTGTCATATGCGTGATCAGTGCTGCTGAGTGCGCTCGCATCATAAGCAAGTGGTCATCAACATAGTTTCAACAATCTTTTAAAATGTTTATTACATCGTTAAAGGAAGACAACAGCAACCCAAACCACCAGCACCACCGCCGCCGCCGACACCACCACCGCCGCCGCCG